GTGAATGCCTTGTTTCTGATTTTTATGTTTGTCTTAGTATAGTTTTTAGCACTTGATATCATTGGTGGATTTGTTTATTGGTTTGGTTGCTCTCTTCTTCTTTCTTTACTTCTTCTTAATTTTTTATGTTAATAATTATTTTACTTTAATTATTTTATTTTTTCTAATTTTTTTATTTTTTCTTTCTGTTTTTCTCCCTGTTCTTCTGAGCCGTGTGGTTGACAGGGTCTTGGTGCTCCAAACAGCTGTCAGGCCTGAGCCTCTGAGGTGGGAGAGCCAAGTTAAGGACACTGGACCACGAGAGACCTCCAGACCCCACGTAATATCAATCGGCAAGAGCTCTCCCAGAGATCTCCATCTCAATGCTAAGACCCAGCTCGACTCAACAACCAGCAAGCTCCAGTGCTGGACACCCCATTCCAAACAACTAGCAAGATAGGAGCACAACCCCACCCATTAGCAGAGAGGCTGCCTAAAATCATACCAAGTTCACAGACACCCCAAAGCACACCACCAGAAGTGGCCCCGCCCACCAGAAAGACCAGATCGAGCCCAACCCAACAGAACACAGGCACCAGTCCCCTCCACCAGGAAGCCTACACAAGCCCCTGAACCAACCTTACCCACTGGGGGCAGACACCAAAAACAACGGGAACTATGAACCTGTAGACTGAGAAAAGGAGACACAAAACACACTAAGTTAAGCAAACTGAGAAGACAGAGAAACACATAGCAGAAGAAAGAGCAAGGTAAAAACCCACCAAACAAGAAACAAGAAAAATCTCAAATAAACAACCTAAACTTATACCTAAAGCAATTAGAGAGAGAACAAAAAAACCCCAAAATTAGCAGAAAGAAAGAAATCATAAAGATCAGATCAGAAATAAATGAAAAAGAAATGAAGGAAACAATAGCAAAGATCAATAAAACTAAAAGTTGGTTCTTTGAGAAGATAAACAAAATTGATAAACCATTAGCCAGACTCATCAAGAAAAAAAGGGAGAAGACTCAAATCAACAGAATTAGAAATGAAAAAGGAGAAGAAACAACTGACACGGCAGAAATACAAAGGATCATGAGAGCTTACCACAAGCAACTCTATGCCAATAAAATGGACAACCTGGAACAAATGGACCAGTTCTTAGAAAAGCACAAGCTTCTGAGACTGAACCACAAAGAAAGAGAAAATATAAAGACCAATCAAGCACTGAAATTGAAACTGTGATTAAAACTCTTCCAACAAACAAAAGCCCAGGACCACATGGCTTCACAGGTGAATTCTATCAAACATTTAGAGAAGAGCTAACACCCATCGTTCTCAAACTCTTCCAAAATATAGCAGAGGGAGGAACACTCCCAAACTCATTCTATGAGGCCAACATCACCCTGATATCAAAATCAGACAAAGACCTCACAAAAAAAGAAAACCGCAGACCAATATCACTGATGAATATCGATGAAAAAATCCTCAACAAAATACTAGCTAATAGAATACAACAGCACATTAAAAGGATCATACACCATGATCAAGTGGGGTTTATCCCAGGAATGCAAGGATTCTTTAATATAGGCAAATCAATCAATGTGATAAACCATATTAACAAACCAAAGGAGAAAAACCATATGATCATCTCAACAGATGCAGAAAAAGCTTGGCAAAATTCAACCCATTTATGATAAAAACTCTCCAGAAAGTAGGCACAGAGGGAACTTATCTCAACATAATAAAGGCCATATATGACAAACCCACAGCCAACATCGTTCTCAATGGTGAAAAACTGAAACCATTTCCTTTAAGATCAGGAACAAGACATGGTTGCTCACTCTTACCACTATTATTCAGCATAGTTTTAGAAGTTTTAGCCACAGCAGTCAGAGAAGAAAAAAGAAATAAAAGGAATCCAAATGGGAAAAGAAGAAGTAAAACTGTCACTGTTTTCAGATGACATGATACTATACATAGAGAACCCTAAAGATGCTACCAGAAAACTACTAGAGCTAATCAATGAATTTGGTAAAGTAGCAGGATACAAAATTAATACACAGAAATCTCTTGCATTCCTATACACTAATGATGAAAAATCTGAAAGTGAAATTAAGGAAATACTCCCATTTACCACTGCAACAAAAAGAATAAAATATCTAGGAATAAACGTACCTAAGGTGACAAAAGACCTGTATGCAGAAAACTTTAAGACACTGATGAAAGAAATTAAAGATGATACAACAGATGGAGAGATATACCATGTTCTTGGATTGGAAGAATCAACATTGTGAAAATGACTATACTACCCAAAGCACTCTACAGATTCAATGCAATCCCTGTCAAACTACCACTGGCAGTTTTCACAGAACTAGAACAAACAATTTCACAACTTGTATGCAAACACAAAAGACCCCGAATAGCCAAAGCAATCTTGAGAAAGAAAAAAGGAGCTGGAGGAATCAGGCTCCCAGACTTCAGACTATACTACAAAGCTACAGTAATCAAGACAATATGGTGCTGGCACAAAAACAGAAACATAGATCAATGGAACAGGATAGAAAGCCCAGAGATAAACCAACACACATATGGTCACCTTATCTTTGAAAGGAGGCAAGAATATACAATGTAGAAAAGACAGCCTATTCAATAAGTGGTGCTGGGAAAACTGGGCAGCTATATGTAAAAGAATGAAATTAGAACACGTCCTAAGACCACACACAAAAATAAGCTCAAAATGGATTAAAGACCTAAATATAAGGCAAGACATTATAAAACTCGTAGAGGAAAACATAGGCAGAACACTCTATGACATAAATCACAGCAAGATCCTTTTTGACCCACCTCTTAGGCAAATGGAAAAAAATAAATAAATAAACAAATGGGACCTAGTGAAACTTACAAGCTTCTGCACAGCAAAGGAAACCATAAAGAAGACGAAAAGCCAACACTCAGAATGGGAGAAACATTTGCAAACGAAGCAACTGACAAAGGATTATTCTCCAAAATTTACAAGCAGTTCATGCAGCTCAAGATCAAAAAAACAAACAACCCAATCCAAAAATGGGCAGAAGACCTAAACTGACATTTCTCCAAAGAAGATATACAGATTGCTAACAAACACATGAAAGGATGCTCAACATCACTAATCATTAGAGAAATGCACATCAAAACCACAATGAGGTATCACCTCACAACAGTAAGAATGGCCATCATCAAAAAATCTACAAACAGTAAATCCTGGAGAGGGTGTGGAAGAAAGCAAACCCTCTTGCACTGTTGGTGGGAATGTAAATTGATACAGCCACTATGGAGAGTAGTATGGAGGTTCCTTAAAAAACTTAAAATAGAACTATCATGTGACCCAGCAATCCCACTACTGGGCATATACCCTGAAAAAACCATAATTCAAAAAGAGACATGTACCACAATGTTTATTGCAGCACTATTTACAATAGCCAAGACATGGAAGCAACCTAAGTGTCCATCAAAAGATGAATGAATAAAGATGTGGCACATACATACAATGGAATATTACTCAGCCATAAAAAGAAACAAAATTGAGTTATTTGTAGTGAGGTGGATGGACATAGAGTCTCTCATACAGAGTGAAGTAAGTCAGAAAGAGAAAAACAAATACCATATGCTAACACATATATGTGGAATCTAAAAAAAGGAAAAAAAAAGGTTCTGATGAACCTAGCGGCAGGACAGGAATAAAGACACAGATGTACAGAATGGACCTGAGGATATGGGGAGGGGGAAGGGTAAGATGGGATGAAGTGAGAGAGTTGCATTGACATATATACACTACCAAATGTAAAACAGATAGCTAACGGGAATCAACCACATAGCACAGGGAGATCAGCTCTGTGCTTTGTGACCACCTAGAGGGGTGGGATAGGGAGGGTGTGGGGGGAGACTCAAGATGGAGGGGATATGGAGATATATGTATACATATAGTTGATTCACCCTGTTATACAGCAGAAACTAACACAACACTGTAAAGTAATTATACTCCAATAAAGATGTAAAATGAAAAATTTTTTTAAAAACCTATAGGTTAAATCATAGTATTGATCCAATGTTAATTTCCTGTGACTACAGAAGAGAATGTACACACCGTATTATTTAGATTTAAAAGTATTTACATCATGTCAGCAACTAGCTCAAAAAAAATTTTAGATATACATGTATATGGAAATACATATATAAAACAATAAAGCAAGTCTGGTAAAATATGAATACTGGGGGAATTGAGGTAAAGGATATACAGAAATCCTTTGTTCTAATTATTCAACTTCTTCATAAGTCTAAAATTTCGAAATAAAAATGTTACCTAAAGTGTAAGTAACCTCCGTTTTGAATTGGTTTGATGATAGTCTAGGCCAGGGATCTGCAAACTTTTTCTATAAAGGGCCAGTCAATACTAATTTTAAGCTTTGTGGGCCATATGTTCTTTTTCACAACATCTCAACTCTGCCAACGCTGTGTCCCAAAACCACCCACAGACAAACTGAAAATGAATGGGAGTGGCTGCGTTTCAATAAAACTTTATTTACAAAAATCGGCAATGGGACAGATTCAGCCCATTGGCCAGTTTGTTAACCCCTGGTCTAGTTCACACCAAGGAAAATTAATCCAAATAATTATACTTCCAGTTAACATGTATTCAGCACATGCTAGACACTATGTTAAGTGGTTTACCCACATTAACTTATTTACCCCTGCACCAATGTGATCAAGTAAATACTATTATTATTTCCATTTTCCACAGAGGAAATGGGCCTAGAAGTCAAGGAACTTGCCCAAGGTCACACAGCCAGTAAGGCGTAGACTCTGGGTTTGAACCAGGTAGGCTTGTCTTCACACAATGAACTATAACCAATATGCTATACTTCTACAGACTGAACTATACTTTCACATGCAACAACTAAAGAATTATAACGATTTTAACAATAGCTAAATAACCACCAAAACTCAAGATTTACATTCCGAGAAGGTATTTTTCACAAACCTCCTGTAGCTGCAAAGAAATAAGTCCCAGTTGATCCTGCCGTCTTTCCACCAGCTCTCTTTCCGTACGCATCTCTCTTTCTATTTCTTGAAGCCGTCGCTCTACCCGATCTGAAACCTTAACATGAATAAAGCGAAAAGTGAGATTACAGAACTGTTAGGCAAAAAAAAGACTAAAACTGAAGAGATATTTTATGCCAGATACACTATCGCCTAAAGCATTTAAGATTGGCTTATTTATAGAATCCTTTTTTAATGACACTATTATAAAACAGGTCACAAAAAAATTGACTGAAAGTTGCAATAGTAAACAGTCATTAGTCTACAATTAATCCAAATCTGGATCCCAATAAAGGACTTAAATTTTCCAAAGTAGAATATAATATGTCAAAAGATCAGAGTTAAAAGTAATAAACTAGAAAATAGTGCCCTCTGGTGAGTTAGAAGAAAAATACCAATTTTACCTACAACTGCATTTATTACTCTATTAATGATAAACTGTTCTATCTATTTAGTTCTTTTTCATTTTAATTATCTATAAGTGTGACCTGCCTAGGAAGGTTTTGATGTTTATATGCATCAAATAATTGAAAGGGCTTGTCAATCTTTGCTACTATGATCTGCTAAAAATAAACCAGTTGTAAAAGATCAAAAACTAAAGTCAAACTGCAAAATGTTTAATTGGGACTCTCTAAAATAAACATGAAAGAATTTTCTCTCTGATGTGAGATCTTCCTTGCTAAAAGTTGTGCAAATGCAAACACACTTCAGAAGCATCACTATACAGTCCCCTAAATAAAATATACACTATTTGACTATTTGTGTATATTTCACGGACGAGGTACAGTAGATAGAAGAGAAGCAATAAATACAGCCCTGGTATAAGAAATCTTTTGCCATAAATTCTATAGAGTCAAGAAAGGTCCTGGTCACAAGGGATCTTACTGGGGCAATAGGAATGTTCTAAACTGGATTATGGTGATAGCTGCACAACCCAGTACTTCACTAAAAATCACTGAATTTTACACTTAAAGCAGATTAATTTTATGGTAAATTACACTTCAAGTCAGGATGTTTTTTAAAAAAACATTGGTAAACATAAGTTTAATTAGTCAATAAAGGCTGAGCAAAAATATTCCATCAAAAAATGATCAGTTAACATTTACTAAGACTGGTAAGTCTTGGGTTTCCAACTTCAAGTGCTGAAAAACAATTAAGATGTTTACTATGATATTCACAGTGCTTTACTAAAACTTCAAAATAGCCTTCAGCATCAAGCTTCTAATTTATCCTAACAATCAGCCCTAATATCCCAACAATTTATTACTGCATCTGAAATAAAGGCAGTACCTGCTGTTATAGAAAACATTATAAATAAATACTGAAAAATAAAAAGTTGTTAATTCATTCCATTTTTACAAAATGGAAATATCTTTATCGTTCACTCAATATAAAAAGTAATTAATAGCAACACTTATCAAAAATAAATAATAGGGAACCACCTCAAGCACATTAGGATGGCTATTAACAAAAAACAGAAAACAAGTGCTGCGGAGGCTGCAGGGGAACTGAAACCCTGGTGCACTGGTGGTGGTTTGTAAAAGTGGGCGGCCGCTATGGAGAAGAGTGCGGTAGTTCCTTAAAAAATAAAAACAAAGGTACCATATGATCCAGCAATTCCATTTCTAGGCATATGCCTAAAAGAACTGAAATCAGGGTCTCAAAGAGATATATGCGCACACCCATGTTCAAAGCAGCATCATCCACAATAGCCAAAATGCGGAAGCAACTCAAGTGTCCATTGACAGATAAATGGATAAACCAAATGTGGTTTATACATACAATGGAATATTATCGAGCCTTTAAAAGGAAGACATCCTTACACTTGCTACAACATGAATGAACCTTGAAGGCCTTATGCTAAGTGAGATAAGCCAATCACAAAAAGACAAATACTGTATCATTCCACTTACATCAGGTATGTAGAACAGTCATATCCATAGAAACAGAAAATAGAATGGTAGTTGCCAGGGGCTGGGGGAGGGGGAATAGGTAGTTGTTTAATGGGTGTAGCTTCAGTTTTGTAAGATTAAAAGAGTTCTGTATTTGGTTGCACAACCACATGAAGGTACATAACACTACTAAACTGAACACTTAAAAATGGATAAGATGGTAAATTTTAGGTTATATGTATTTCACAACAATCAAAAATAAACAAACAAATATAGAATAAAAAATTTTTTAAATCTGCTAATACCACCTAGCACGAAGAAAATAATGCTAAGTACTTTGTTGTATACTTCCAGAAATTTTTCTATGCATATGTGTATGACCAGTCAAACACATATCAACTTCATTTAACTTTTTAAACAAAAATTGGGTGTTATACATAGTATTTCATAGATTTTTTCAGTTTATATATATATATATATATATTTCTATTTTTTTCCCCACAGATCACAGACAACTTTCCATGACAACAAATCTACATCCTCATTTTTAGCAAAGGCATAGTTTTAATTGATTAAAATAATTCCCTATTGATAATGGGATAACAATTAATATTTATTTTTAAATATTAACATCTCAGTGATGAGATGTTACTTCCATGATTAGGTTATAAAAATTCTAACTTTCAATCCTGCTAGCATGTTCTCTCTTGCCTTCTCACTTGCTTGCTCTAATGAAGCAAGCTGCCATATTGTGAGATGCTCTGTGGAGAAACCATGTGTCAAAGAAACAAAAGAGGGCTTTGACCAACAGGTCATGATGCTTGATGCTTCAGTCCATTAACCTACAAGGAACTGAATGAGTGAGGAAGCAGATCCATTCTAATCAAGGATTGAGATGACTGCAGCCTGTGAGAGACCCAGAGCCAAACAACCCAGCTAAGCCATGCCTGTATTCCTAACCCACAGAAACTGTGAAATAATAAAAGTTTTAAGCCACTGAGTTTGGGGAGATTTGTTATGCAGCCATAGATGACTAATGCAATTTTAAATTGGTTTTCAAATAAATCCTCACCCAAGAAATAAAGACTCTCATGAAGAAAATATATATATATTCTCCACTCCATCCACAAAATGTCTATCTATTTCATAGAATTTTGTTCTCCATTTCAAACTATTACAGCCCCCCATTTCTTCCATGGTAAAGGAATTTTAACTAGACAGGTGGCTACAAAATATAATCAATACATTTTGTGGCCTCTTCAGCTGCTAGCTGGCCGTGTGACTTAAATTTTGGTAAATGGGATACATGCATAAGTGTTGTGACAACTTCAAGAAATTATCCATAAAGGATAGCGCATAGGCGCCTTTTGCTCTCATACTCATTCCTTCCTCTGTCTTGCTGCCTAGTACACAGATGCTGCCATCTCCGACCATAAATTTGAGACCATAACAGCAGGAAAAACAAAAAGAGAATGACAGGAAGAGCCTGAAACTATTACATACTGTAGATCAGTACATACCACGTGGAACCCTGAACTCCCTAACTAAGACTTTCCCACAGGAGAGAAATAACTTAGTCTTTTTTCCCCAATCACTATTATTTGGGGTTTTCAGTTATTTATGGCTGAAACTGATCTTAACTGACAAAGAGAAGCACTTAGTGGAAGGCAAAATGCTAAGCAAATACAACTACTGCCTTATACAACCATCGGAACATGGGAAAATAGTGATATCCTGCTCTGTTTCAGTCAAGCCTGAAGAAAATTATAATAAAATGAATAGGCACTATAGCTAGTCAGTATTGAGAAAAAATAAAACAGATACACAAACTAGCATGATTGAAAATGAATAAACACAGAAAGTATTTTATGAATTTCAACAGTGGTAGAATGATAATCTGGTGGCCTCTAAGGCCACCAAAGTATCTTTATCGACCCAATCATCCAGACAGATCAATATGCTCAAAATACTTGCCTTTTCCTACTGCTAATACACTGATTCACCCAACTCCAACTAAGTCAGCAACAGCCAAAGACCTAAAATACACATTTCTATAACTCCAGTTTTCTCTTTATCTATTCTTTCTCGTCTACGTCTACATTATATTCTGTATCAGTTAGGGTACAGTCTAGGTTCTCTCAAAAAGATCAAACAACCATCAGCTAAAATAAGATTAGTATTACATGTGTGCTCTCTCATCTTACAGCCCAGAAGAAAGCAGGACAAGCTGGCAGGCCACTCTGCTCCCTAAGGTAATTCAGAGGTCCAGGTTCCTTCCATCTCTTGTTCCACCACCCCTAGATAGTTATCCTCACCTGCCTGGTTTAAGCTGGGTTAGTGCTACATCCCCAGTTCAACCCACATAAGGAGAAAGAAAGTCCCAGACAAGTGGCTTTGTCTACAAGGAGACAACCCAGAAGTTGCATGTACCACTTTTACTCACACTTAGTCACATGGTCACGACTTAGCCACACAGGAAAACTGAGACATGTCATCTCTACCTGAGTAATCACATGCCTAGATAAAACTGCCAGGGGTGTGGAGAGGGCTGATAAGGGAAGGAAGATGCAGATCTGATACTAAAGGGAAGAAGAAACTCAATACAATGGGCCGATGAGAACTAACATAACTTCAACACACATATTATAATTTTAAGGTAAGCCACCTTTCATCCTTTTTTGGAAAAGAGTAAGATAAATGCTAATTCTCAGATGAAAGTATTAAAAAGAAGACATTTAAAATACTAATTATAAAATTGAGCAGTATGTAACAAATTACAAACGCACATAGACTTTAACCTTGTAAATACACTTCTAGAAATTTATTCTACCAATTTACTTTCCCATGTGAAAAACGGTACATGTACAAGATCAATAATTGCAGTGCTGTGTATAAAAGAAAAGACTTAGACCACCGAAATGTCCATCAATATAAGACTGGTTAAATAAATTTTGGGACATTCATTCAATAGAATGCTTTAAATATTAAAAGAAAGGAATTAGGAAGCTCATGAGAGGCTAATATGGAACAATCTCAAATCTCAAAAATACATTAAGTGAAAAAGGCAATATACAGAAGAGTGAGTTTATTAGGCTAACTGCTAACAATTAAATAACAAAAAAGGGAGAGCAGGAGAGGCCTCTCTCAGGGTAGTGACATTCAACAG